GTTTAAGTTAAAAATAAAGCAAGTCCTGAAAATGTTTCTTTTCCCTGATTTATGAAACAAACCCTCCCAGAGGCCTTCCTGAGATGGGATCTGCCCTGTAGCACCAGGACTCTATTACATATCTCCATCCCACCTATGCATGTATGGCCACAGGAGATCAGAACTCCCAGTTGCTCCGGCCAGCCTTGCAACCAGCTCTCCGCAAGCCTGGACACATCATTTTGTCCTTCCGTTGCCTTATTTCCTTGTCTATGGCACAGCAGGGACATTACCTATATCAGCATTTCTATTCCCCTCCTTCAGCCTGTCCATTTTAAAAGTGGAAGGGGAATGCTTCTCACAAAGAAACGCTGAAGATGGCCATCAGGCCGGAGGGGACCAGAGCATCTGTGTTTTGTTCACTCGGGCAGAGGGAGAGGAATCGAGCTGCCGAGTGAGGAACCCTCGTATCTGCCTGAGGTCAGGACTGCCAGGCAGGGAGGGACCCCCGAAGCCGGGCAGAAGTTCCCTCCTCCCGGGCCGAGCTCCCCACCCCAAATCACCCTGCGTCTCCATCGCACTGTTTAAAAGATTCCAGGCTAAGTAAACATCCCCCTTCATCTTCTTCGTCTAAATAGAAATGTTTTGATTTCACATCAATCTGAGGAAGCCGTTTATAACCTGAGCCTGTCACACGGACTTTTCATCTCTGCCCAGGACAAACTCTCCCACATGCTCTATTTACACTGAGCACTTCCTCCGAAAACAATGCCACCGGGAGCTTACTCCGCTTGCCCCCTCCCCACACCCTGCCAGGAGACACCGGCTCCCTCCGCTCCGCACCCAGCCCGTGGCATCTTGAGAGCAAACCTCCCTTTGAAGGAAAGGTATGGCTTGCTGCAACCAGGCCTGGCAAGGAGGAGGACAAAGCCCACCTCGCCATTTTGCTGCCTTGTCACCCTGTGAACTTGCTGCCCCCGCCGCCCCTCTTTCCCCCAGTCCCTGCTGGCAGCCCCAGGCTCTGTCCCTCCACGCAGCACTGTCCCACCCATGACCTCCTCAGTGGGGTGCTGCCAAGGTGGGCACGGCTCAGCTCTGCCTCCCCCAGGGAAGAAGATGGGCTACGGGGGCACGCCGTGTGCGGGGACGCAGGGCTGTGCAGCGTGGACAGAAACGGGGCAGCCCAGCCGAGGGGCAAACGGCGCTGCAGAGAGAAAGCCTGGCTTGGCAGGGGAAGGAAAAGGGAGCTGAAGCCTGGCTTTGGCTTGGGGTCGATGACGAAACGCACCCTGGTAGAGGGGAGAAAGGGACCCGGCTGTGAAACAGAGGCATGTGGGAGCTGGATGAACCAGCTGGCATGGGTGGAGGGGAAGGGGCCCTGGCTGCTCGGCAGGAGCTTACTGGGGTGGGGAGAGCTGGGGGTGCAGAGGGGACCCCCACCTGATGGGGCCGGGGCTGAAGAGGGGCAGGAGGGCCCATGCTGTGGGGAGAGGGGTGCTGGCTGGGGAGGGACGGCGTGCTGTCACTTCAGAGGGCCGGGTACGTCGAACAGATGGAGCTTTCATATTCCTATTGAAGAGTTTTAAGCCCAGCTGAGCAGCTCCGTTCAGGAGGGAGGTCCCAGTGCCAGCTTTCCAGGAGCTGCAAGCTCTCATTCGATTAATTATTAACAGCATTATTTGGGGCGGGGAGGGGAGGGAAGGAGGACCGACATGCTGCACAGTCCTTTTCTTTTTTAACCACTGTGGTGCAAGCTTAACTGGAGAGCCTTCAGTCTGGCCAGGACCCCCAAGCAGGGAGGGCAGCACGGCTTGCTGGCGTGGGGGCAAGGACCCCGAACGCTAGAGCCTCTTCACACTCGAGCTGCGGTCCCTTAGACAGAGCCAAACCTCCACAGCAGAAGGCCGCTGGGGCACCGGGAACATGCTTCCCCGGAGCGATGCCCAGCCACACATCGGGACGAGGGAGGGGAGGCAGCCAAACGCTCAGTCCCTTCCAGAAAACCCTTCGCCTCCAGCACGGCCACTCGTGCATTATCCCAGGCAGGGCCAGGGCAAAGGCAGCAACAGCCCAGGCATGGCCCACAATGTGCGAGAGTGGCTTTAGTGTGTGTATTTTCCCCTCCAGTTTATCAATAAAACATTTTATTGCTTTTAGCCCAGGAAATGACCTTGGATTAGTGGATGCTGTCTCTTCTGGCTGACCTTGGGGAGTTCACACAGTCTCTTTAACAACCTCCTCTGCCCTGCGAGCATGGATCTCGCCTGTGCGTGTCTGTGTGAAGCCGGGGAAA